GGGCGCAGGGCAGAGCGCGGGCCTTACAGGTAACGTAGGGCTTACGCAGCGCGCCTGCGGGCGGCGCGGGCGGGGCACGTGCGTGCGTGCAGGTGGCGCGAATAGGGCGCGTACGGGTCGCGCTAGGCTAGGCCACGAATCGCGCTATGATAGGCCACGAAATCGCGCTAGGCAGGGCGGCATTAGTGAACCGACGGTCGCGATTTCTCGGGGCGGGGCAAAACGAACGGGCAGGATACAAGCTAACGGTGGGCCCGTACAAAAAATAGGTCCTGTGGGACATGCTCATAATACCATGTTAGAATGTCGACTAGTCTAGGTCACTAGAGTAGAGAGAATGATGTGGATTAGGTAAGGAAGGGGGGGTACAAGAGTGTCGAGCAAAATGGTTGTACCCTCTAGGGATAACCCCTACACAACCTAGAAAACATAGAAACATATAAATGTTTTGACAACCCCGTACATGGTGGATGCGCAGATGTGACAGAGGGGGGTGAAATGGGGTGCGGGACGGGGCGTCTTGATGGGGTGTCCTGACTGGGTGTTTTGATTGGGTATCTTGATGGGGCTTTTTATGGGTGTTGCGTTTGGGAATTTTTTGGCAGTTTTACTTTCCTTCTCCCTTTCCTTCTCCACCTCCCTTCTCCTTCATTTATGTCTCTCTTTCCTTTTTTCCTCTTTCTGTCTAGGACAACATTTGTTGAAGTGACTCTCAAAATCAAACCAATCAAAAGATTTACTTAGGTAAGGTCTATAAGCATCAAATCAAGCTGTATGCATTGCGAAAAACGTCTGATCGGGTCTAACTATCTGGTTCAGGGTTTTAAGACGCATTTTAATACGGTCAACCACGTTCGAGAGCGTTTCTCGAATACACAAGAATAAAGTATTGAACCGCTTTAGACCATTGCGCACCAGAATGATACTTTGAAGGTTTGAAAGCCAGGAACTCATGACCATTCTCTCGCAGGGCGTGTTCCCGTCGGAACACTTCGAAATGAATCGTGTGGAACAATTTTGTGATAGATTCACACCACATGCAGTACAATTCATCCAAGCAGCGCTCCACATCCCATGTACAACCGAATGTAGATCCAATCAGCTACAGTACCAGCTGACACGAACCAATTATCGAAGAGCAGAGGCTTCGACGAAGGAACGCATTAAATATTTTTGGAATGCTACGTCATCGATGACGCCCGCAAATTTGTGTTTTGCTGTTCTGCTCCCATCTCCATGTCGTTTCTTCTCGAGGGAGTGTTGGGATTGTGGGAGAACACTTGCAGGTTGCTTGCTTGTAACAAGCCGAAGCAGGCTCACCACACCACCAGCGTCACTTCCCCCAACCGCATTTCTAGCCCCACTCAACGAAACCGAATACACCCACTTTCTCAACCTTTTCACCTAGCGCGACTCGTTGCTACAGTTCTTGTCTCGTGCGGTCAGGTGCCATAAAATGTTCCTAGCAATCTGGGGGGGAAAGCTGAACCACGTGACAAACTGGCTCAAGGGTGTAAAATTTCCGTTATCGCTGTATACCTTACCCAACCAAATGAAAACGCGGACACATTTGTTTGTAACGTGCATCACCTCACCTAACCGCATTCGTCGCATTGTGCTTGTACAGTTGGTGACAAGACCATTCTGAACGTGGTGACGTTCTACAACCTGTGTCTGTTCTGCAACCAGATGCTCTACTAGCGCGAAAGAGGGTGTACAGCCACGTGTGGTCACTGTTGTTGAGCTGGAAATCGCGACGTTTGGCTCAAGTGTTGTGCTGATTCTAAATTCCAACTGGGACTGCGTTGACATGCCAGCCGATGATTGCCAATCGCGAATCAATCATATACGTAGCTGCCAAAAATCTGGATGAGGCTCTACAGTTTACTCTCCGAGAAGTGTAACCGTTTCTCTTTTGTAGTTTGTTGGAGAAGCGAGGAGTCACGCGGGAACATACGGTCTACGGTAAAAGAAGGTTTTTATTGACCGATGTCGTTAACGAATCTTTTTTTGCATGAACACTGCAATCACTAAGGGGTGTTGCAGTCCCTTGGATGTCTGAAATTCAAACGAAAATTGGCTTCAAGCAAGCATTATTGTTAAAATCGACCAATAATGCTGGAAGGGTGATGTGTGCCAAGCGGGACATGATGGTGGCGCGCAGATATGCTAGAATCTGTTTTACACTCTTAAGAAATGTAATCCAATCTTGAAGGATTTTCCAGTCGTAATCCAGTGGAGGTGGTGCGACATTAAAACTATTCGAGCAAAGGTATCTGTGCAACGTAACCAAAACAACACTGAACATAACGTTTGTTGCCCTGAAGATCCTTTGGGTACATTCGTTGTGCACATTGTGCATGCTGCAAAACTGACTTTGTCTCATCGATTTCTCCAAGTCCAGCCTGTCACGACTTGCCGAACAGGGAACGACCATTTGTCCGTAGCCGCCGCAATTGCCAGTTGAAGAGCGCCCCTAGTCAGATCAGGACGGAGACAACAGGCATCACACGTTATCGTTGGTGTTCGCGTTGATTGGCTGCATTCAGTGAATTATTTTTTTCACATGGTGAGAAGACTCGTGCGAGGCGATGCGGAGCAGCGACGGCAGCATGCCTCCCTCCCCCGCCCATACCTTTCATCAACTACAGTTCTTCGTTGTTCTGTTCGCTTTCCCTTTGTCGAAGCGCCTGCCACCACACAAGGGAGCAATCAGTGCAGCGCTCTGCCACCTTTTGGAGGTTTCGGTTCTCTGGTGGTGAGGCAATGTGACCTCGCCCACACGTTTACACCTGATGTCCGTTTGAGTCCCCCCTACTTGGGTTGTTCTCCGGGCTTATAAAAGTTTTGGGCATTTCGCCCAGTTCGTTCCATTTCGCCAGGGTGTTGAGGTGCTTCTAAAAAACACAGGTTGTAACTCGTTTGTTTTTTCCAAAACAGTGCTGGTGGGCCTGTGTTGTTGTTAGTTCAGGGTTTAGGGTTTATGCTCGTTTCTGGCCAAGAAACAAGAACAAACCGGGTCAGCATGGTTTGTTTTGCGCCTAAGATTCATACTTTGGCGTTTTCTCGCCCAAATGCAAGTTGATCCGCGTGCCTATACCCTGGGTGCAACTGACCGGGAAAAAAAGCACGGGTGCAGAGTTTCTGAAACGTCCAAGGCGAATTCGCGCGCAGTGGTTGGGCATCATGTGTACTGTATTGTCACAGCCTGAGTCACCAGGTATTCGTTAGAGCGTGTTCAAAGTGGACACATCCACCTACATTTCGGATCTGACTCACGGATGATGGCGAGGAGATTGGAGAAAAAATGCTTACGTTCAAAGTGGACACATCCACCCAGATGATTTCAAAGTTTCAGAACGTAAGCATTTTTTCTCACCACTTCTGAGTTGGAACGCACTCTCGGGACATGCCTTTCTGTCAGCGGACTATTTGAGTGTCTGTCTGCCTATTGCACTCCATCGACCAAGTTTCCTTCCCCGCGGTTTTGAGAGTATTGACTTTTGCGGCTCGCTGGCCTCAATAGTTGGCTTCCGACTCGGAATCGATTTCTGCGCGTTTGTGACTGAAACCTGTTGAATAGACGACATTGTTCACGCCAACTAGTGCGACACATATGGTAAGATCAACCTTTCTCTCTTTTAAGCGCTATCATAGAAAAAACTGCGATGGAAAGTCTGCTGTTCTCGCCACTTATTAACCAATATCTTAACATTTTTGTTTCTCGTCCAGGCGTTCTGTCTCAACGAACCTCCGATTCCTCTAGTCAAAATGGCACATCCGGAAACTGCGGCGCGAACCTCGGGCTATCTCTCGGCCTAACCTCCGGCAACGGTGACAGGAACTTCCTCGCCGCAAGTCCCGGCGCGAACCCCTCGGCGGTTCGCGCGAAACCAGTAAATACCGAAGAAAAGCACTCCGTGTATCGCTTGCCAAATCTCTTCAGCGGTCACAGCGACAGGAGCCATGATGGCGAGTCGCAGGCGTCACCGCCGTCTCCGTCGTCGCCCGAGCAGATCCTACCCGGCGCGCCGGCCGCCTTTATTACCCCCACGAGCCTTCAGTCGTGTCCGACGCAGCCGCAGACTCAAGCGCAGCCGGCTCAGCCGCAGCCGCAGGCGCAGGCGGCGGTTCAGGCGTTAAACGAGGAGCAGAAGCGGCAGCTGCTGCGGCTGCTGCAGCAGCACCACCAGAAGCTCGTGCAGGTGCAGCAGCACAAGCAGCAACTCCAGGACCAACTCTCCGCGCCGCTCTTAACCGCATCCAACCGATACAGCCAACACGGCGAGCTCGAGGCTCACCGTCGCGTCGACCAAAACGAGCCTTGTCGCGGAAGCGACCTGATGACGTCAGCAACGGCGGCAGCAGCAAAAACAGCTTCGGTAGTAACACCAGCAGCGGCATTAGCGGCCACCCTTCAAAGCCAGAATTCCCACAACGTATCAAACCTTATCGATGGGTCAACCGGGGTTGACGCCGTCTCGCTACTGACTCGCCTCTGGAGCGCCTCGCCCGCCGCAAATGCCTCAAATTCCGCAAATTTCGCAACTCCCGCAGCTGGTAATGCCCCGTCGCCGCTAGCCGCAGGCCTCCTCCGCAGATCTAATTTAGCCCCCGCCGCTGAGTTCGCGACCGCCGCGGAAGCCGCCGCCTCCGCCACGCCCTCGCGTTCCTTTCCGCGCGACTTCAGCGCGCCGAGCCCCGCCGCGCGGGGAGCTAGCGCTAGTTCCGCCCTCGCTGCTATGGCGCACGGTGCCTCCGCGGATCAAGGTCTGGGGGGTTCGGGGGGGGCTGGAGGGGCGGGACTTGAGGGGATGGCGAGGAGATTGGCGGAGCTTCTGAGCGCGAGGGCGGAAGGCAGCGTATGCGCGGATGCTGATGGAATGGCTGCTGCTGCTACTGCCGCCGCTGCTGCCGCTGGAGGTGGCGGCGGTGCTGCTGACGTATGGCAACCTACGAGCGGATTTAAACCCCCAGCCGTTGCAGCTGAAGGTTCGTTCATGGCCGTTTCTCCTATTTCCCCGGCTAAGGAAGCTTTATCGCCACGTGGACTTGATCTCCGCTCATTGGTTGGGAGATACATGAGCCAAGTACGTGCTGACGTGGACCTCGAGCGTCAGCCTGACGTGGAAGCGGCGGAAGGCATGGGGGAGGTGGGAGAGGGCGGCGGAGCCGAGATGATGGGTGGCGGAGAGGGGGACGACGGAGGAGCATCCGAGGGCGGCAGTGGGGGTGGGAATAGCAATGGCAATGGTGACGGCGACGGCAGCGACGGCAACAAGAGGAAAATGCGGCTGTCGCAGGATCAGATCTCCATGCTGGAGCAAGTCTTCCAAAAGCACCCGAAGCTGGTGGCTCGGCAGAAGGCGACCCTGGCGGAGAGGCTCGGCGTGCGGGTGCGGCAGGTGGAGGTGTGGTTTCAGAACCGGAGGGCGCGCACCAAGGTGAAGCAGACAGAGGCGGAGCTGGAGGGGCTGAGAAGGCGATGCCAGCTGCTGGCGGAGGAGAATAAGCGGCTCAAGCTGCAGCTGGCTGCGAGGGAGAGGGGGGAGAGGGGAGAGAGGGGAGAGAGGGGGGGGAAAGCGGAGAAGGGGGAAAGGGAGCTGGAAAAGGAGGGGAAGAGGGGAAGAGGGGGAGGAGATGCTGGGGGTGCAATGAAGAGGGTCAAGGTTGAGGGTGCAGTTGAGTGGGAGTTGTGTGGGTCTTGTAAGAGAAATGAGCGGCAAGCGGGGGAGCAGGGGGAGACAGAAGCAGTGCAACAAACAGTGGCTTCAGATGAGGCGGGTGCTTCGCCTGAGCAACAAATGAGGATGTTTTTGTGACCTTGGCTGGTTGTTTAATTACCTGTCTAGGTGTGATATGTACATAGGTGATCGCATGTATGGTAGATGTTACGTACTCAATGAAACACAGAAATTGCACAGCTAAGAAATAGGCTGCTCCTAAAGTCAACTAGACGCATCTAATCTATACCATAGTCTGGCCTGCCCTACCAAAGCAGCCGCGTCGCACGAGACGGTGTCCGTCGCCATCAGCAACCTACAGCAGGGATTTACGCAGGGCCCACCCACCACCCAAGGCCGGAAAATGCTGGGACCATAGAACTACTATCAGCAATCCGTGTTGACTGACAAGACAACCCAGGTGCTCTGGTCTGCATTGAAGCTCCCACCCGGCGGGTTGTCAGTCACACCCACGCTTCCTTCGCCGCCGCAAATCTCACAGCTACCACAGCCTACGCTGTCGCCTGTCGTACGCCGCTATCGCCTCCTGTCGTACGATGCTATCGTCGCCTGTCGTACGCCGCTATCATCCCCTGTCGTGCGCCGCTATCGTCGCCTGTCGTCGTACTCTACTACCGTCGCCTGTCGTACGCTGCGACGTTCTGGGGTTCGCACGCGGGTTCCCACAGCACCGCTTGGACAAGCGCACACCCCGCTGCCGTAGCGCCACCCACCAGGCTCCACCGCATCAGGCGCGGCCGCGTGACGCGCGGCCCGTAGTGCATCGCGCAGAAGGGAAGCGCGGCGAACGCGCCGTAGACGGCGGCTATACGCGTTACTAGCCGGATGTGCTCGGAGCACGTGAGCGCGTCCTCCCGCATTAGGTCGCCCGCAGAGGCTCCTAACGGCTGACGGAGCGCCATCAGCGTCGGCGTAACTACCACTAATTACGAGTGGTTTTGCGACGAATAAAACGATGGGCAATCTGCAACCAGCAAAGAGCGGAAATGATGCTAGGGCAACAAACCCGAAATCTTGATACTGTACACTAAGCGAAGCAGGCTGATACCGTAATACAGTTTGTACGAACAACCTCCTCAAGGTGATCACAGAGCCGTCAATATCGCGTACATTTTAAAAGGCTACAGTTTGGCAGGTTGAAAGATTTGGGGGGCACAAACTGTAAGTGACCCCAAATTCCCAAGCTAAGATGTCAATAATCCCCGCTTCCCCTTCACCCCCTTTCCCCCCTCCCCCCCTTCCAGTCAAACCCCACCACAAAATCAAACGTGCACCACTCCCAGTACTAGAAAGAAAAGGACCATATCTGATCACAATCTTATTCCAATTATCCCCAACCCCAACCCAACCCACTTCATCTCCACAAAACACCTCACCCATAACCCCTTCAGCGGCGATCGTAATACGAGCCTCCATCCGTCCAATCATCTTGCGCCGTATACTCAGACTGAACATCGGACATACCATCCCCCCTCACCCCACCTCCCTGATACCCCCCATGCCCCTGCCCTGGATACTCCGACCCCACCTCACTCTCAGCATACCCCCCCTCTCCACCATACCCACTATGCACACTCCTCTGACCATACTCCGTTGCTCCATCATCCACCACCGTATCCCCATCCCCATGATGCCCCACCTCATCCCCATCCTCGTTATAGTACGCCCCAGTACCATCATCGTCATGCACCGCGTTCGGATCGTACACCTCGTCCTCCTCCCCGTCCGGCCCGATATAATTCCCTTCTTCGTCGTAAAAAGCATCGTCGTCCCCCTCCCCTTGCAGCGGCTGCTGCATATCTGCCATTTGGAATTCCAGAAACGCCTCGTCTTTCTTTTTTCCCTCGCGGTATCCGCGAATCAGGCAGAAGCAGCAGATCGCAACGACGAATAGGAGCATCCCGAGGACAATCCCACCAACTTTCAACCAATAGGACGTGTTCTGCACTGTAGGTGAGCTGCTACTGCTGCTGCTACTGCTACTACTGCTGCTGCTGGGGGTGCTGCTGCTGCTGGGGGTGTCACCACTGCTGCTGCTGCTGCTGTTGCTGCTGCTATTGCCAGCTGTGGTAGGAGGCATGGATCCCGAGCCTGCTCCTCCCGAACCTCCGCCTCCGGCTGGGGGAATCGGGGTGGTATTCGCATCAAATGTTGTCAAAGCAGTCAGATCTGACGCAGGATCCACACGAGGATCGGGGCCGGGCGGGAACTTTTGTCTGCAAGTGAATTTGCAGTCGGTGGGCTGGGTAAGCCGGAAAACACCCAGATGGGTCAGGATGTAAAGCGTGCCATTCACGTCCTGCCCCCAGGCAAATACCGCGCCGAAATTCGGGCGGTAGGGGCCTTGCATCGGGCATTGGATGGGTGAACTGGGCGCGCAGGAAACATTGAGGGGTTGTGAACCGAGGGGGAAGTGGCCGCTATAAGGAGGATTCTCTGTAGCCACGTAGAACTGGTTGTTTCTGTCACTGAATAGGTACCTGGTAGGGATCAGGGTGAGAGAATACAGGGGAAAGTATGATGATTAAGGAGGACTGGGGGTAGAGGATGGATCGAGTAAGGAGCATCGAGAATAATGAATCGTAGAAATTTGAGGATATATGTGCAGAATGACCTTGGACTGGAACAAAGTAGGAACAATCAACCTCAAGATTCTGAGAAAAGATATCACACCCAGGCATGTACACAATCACTATCATCTCACCTTCCATATAAGCACGCATCCTCGTAACCTCTCGCGTAGAACCCCCCAACCACGCTGCTGGTATTGCTCCACCCACACGTATTGAAAGGAGGGCAGCTTCTGGTTTGGTACAAAGGGTTTCATATATCACCCCCAGGCATGCACACAAGCATCATCACCAGCATCGCACCTTCCATATAAGCACGCGTCCTCGTATCCTCTTGCGTAGAATCCTCCAACGACGCTGCTCGTGTTGCTCCAGACGTATTGAAACGACGGCAGCTTCTGGTTCGGCACGGGGCGCGGCTCGCTAGCATTGGCAAACTCCCGACCCTCGAACCACTTCCAGCCGTAGTTACCGCCGCTGGTTACCACATCTACCTCCTCCCATTTGGTCTGTTGGTGAAGGAAGGGAGGGGAAGAAAGGGAGGGGAAGAAATGGAGGGGAAAACGGGAGGGAAAAGAAGGGAGGGGAAGAAAGGGAGGGGAAGAAAGGGAGGGTAGTAGACGAAGGATGGGGGAGAATGGGGAGGGGAACGTGAGAAAACGAAACAGCTTCTTGTGGTCAGGTACGGGTAACCTCCTCCCTTCCATTGTTATATTCGGGATCCTCAATCCGCTTTTACCCCTCTTACCCACATCCCTCCCAGGAGGGGGTTTCTTTCAGCCAACCTACGATTAGCACTCACCCATCCTATGAGACGCACCCATCACATAACGGAGGGTCTGAGGAGGTCAAAGGCGCTCTTCCAGGGGTCGTGGAAGCCCAGCGCAAACACCTCCCCCCTCCCGCCTCCCCCTCGCCCCCCAGACCCGTATCACCCCCCTCCCAGATCCCTTTCCCATCCCACCCACAAGCAGCAGCACGCACCCATCCAACATCCCCGCACATCATAACAGAGGGTCTGAGCAGGTCGAAGGTGCACTTCCAGGGGTCGTGGAAGCGCAGTGCAAACACCTCCCCCCTCCAGTCCCCCCTTTACACCCCAGGCCCCATACAGAGAACAGCTTTCCCACATGCCACACAGAATATTACTCACCCATCCCACGTCCCCGCATATCATGACAGAGGGTCTGAGGAGGTCGAAAGTGCACTTCCAGGGGTCGTGGAAGCCCAGTGCAAACACCCCACCCCTCCCCCCTCCCCCTCTCCCCTCAGACCCCTTATCACCCCCCTCCTAGTTCCCTTTCCCATCCCACCCGCAAGCAGCACTCACCCATCCGACGTCCCCACACATTATGACGGAGGGTCTGAGCAGGTCGAAGGTGCACTTCCAGGGGTCGTGGAAGCCCAACGCATACACCCCCCCCCCCCCCCCCCCCCGCCAGTCTCCCTTTCCCCCACTCCCAGTTCCCCCCATACACCCACATCCCAGGAGGAAATTCTTTCAGCTGTCCTATAAGCAGCACTCACCCATCCCACGTCCCCGCACATCATAACAGAGGGTCTGAGGAGGTCGAAGGTGCACTTCCAGGGGTCGTGGAAGCCCAGCGCAAACACCTCCCCCCGCCAGTCCCAATCAACTGCGTGCGGGTTGTCCGGAGGAATGCCGTACGCCCCCAGCAGCCCCCTGCTCTTGATCTCATCCTCGCCTGTCCCAGAGGGTGGGGGAGAAAGGAGGGAAAGAGGGACGGATGGAACGGAGACGTACTAGAGTTCACTGGCAGAGGGGTTGGGTTGTAGGGAGAGGTGGGAGTGGAAGCAAGGGTTTCGAAGTGGAAGTGAGGGGAGGGAGGAACGGGGAGAGAGGGTAGGAAGAGGATGAGGGGGAAGGGAGGAACTGGGGAAGAGGGGAGGACGGGGACGTGGAGGGAGGGAGGAATGGAAAAGATGGGAGAAGTGGAAGAAGCATGCAGCATTTGGGGTACACCATACCCCACCCCACCCCACCAGACCCCACCATACCACACCACACCACACCACACCACCTCACACCAACACTACACCCCACCTCACACATAACCAACGCCAGTCTCTCAAGCCACCCATCTGGTTGGCTGATCCCATTGAGCACGTCCAGCTTTAGCACCTTCCCCTGGAACGCTTTGGGGTTCTGCGCCAGGCCGAGGGGGTCGAGCTCGCCCCCGCCATCCCCCAGCATGACGTAGAGCATGCCGTCCGCGCCCCATGGCGAGGAGGGAGAAACTGCACCGCACTGCACCACACCACACCCCACCTCATCCAAACTCTCTTACACACTTACCCACCCCCCCACCCACGCACCCCCCCACCCACGCACCCCCCCACCCACGCAACCCCCCACCCACGCACCCCCCCACGCACCCCCCCACCCACCCACCCCCCCACCCACGCACCTGGCTGGCTGATCCCGTTCAGAACGTCCAGCCGCAGCACCTTCCCCTGGAACGCCTTGGGGTTCTGCGCCAGGCCCAGGGGGTCCAGCTCGCCCCCTCCATCCCCCAGCATGACGTAGAGCATGCCGTCCGCGCCGAATCGGATCTGCCCGCCGTTGTTGTTCATGAAGGGCTGCCCCAGCCGCACTATGTAGCGCACTATCGTGGCTGAGATGGCCGCTTTCTGAGGGGGGAAGGAAGGAGGGGAAGTGGTGGTGGGAGAGGCAGCAGGGGGGAGGCAGCAGGGAGGGGGGAGGAGGAGAAGGGAAAGAGATGGCTCTTGAGTCGACTCTGATGAAGGGCTGCCCCGGCCGCACTGTGTACCGCACTACCCCCGCGTCTATGCTCGCTCGCTGGTGGGTGGGGGAGGGGAGGGAAGGGGATGAGGGACGGGGAGGGGAGAGGAGGAGGAGGTGTGAGGTGGAGAGCATGTCAATACGAGCAGAACGTAAGGCAGCACTGCCACGCCCATGCACCATTCCCCTATCCACCCTGCCTGCCTGCATACCTGGTACATCTTAGCCGGTGTGCAGAGCGTGTCACTGCATGCAGAGAACTCCGCCACCACGGTCACATTCCGGCACAGGTCCCCCCGTGCCAACCACAACACAACACGCTAGCCCTGCTGCCGCCCCCTGACCCCCCAGCGTACCTTGGAGATCTTAGCCGGTGTGCAGAGCATGTCACTGCATGCAGAAAACTCTGCCACCACGGTAACATTCCGGCACAGGTCCCCCGTGCCCCAGCGGCCGTCTGGATTGGCCGCCTGAACCTTGTCGGCCGTGCAGTCCACAGCATCGTAGCAGCCGCACACAGTGGGCTTGCAGTCCGAGTTGACTGACGAGTCGCAGGTGAAAGACACGAAGAGGCGGCCGTTGCTGGGGTAGTCGGGGTGAAAGGCAATCCCCACTGCTCCCTGCTCCCCCCCCTGTGCCACCCTGTGAGGGGGGGAGGCGGTGAGGGAAGGTATGGGGTTGAGGGAAACGAGTGGCATAGCAGCCGCACATAGCAGCCTTGCAGTCCGGGTTGACTGACGAGTCGCAGGTGAAGGACACAAAGAGACGGCCGTTGCTGGGGTAGTCGGGGTGAAAGGCAATCCCCACTGCTCCCTGCTCCGCGCCCTGTGCCACCCTGTGTGCGTGAGGGGGGGAAGGCAGTGAGGGAAGACATGGGGGTGGAGGGAAAACAGTGAGCTTGCAGCCGCACACAGCGGGGTTGCATTCATAGTCGACTGACGAATCGCAGGTGAAGGAGACGAAGAGACGGCCGTTGCTGGGGTAGTCGGGGTGAAAGGCAATCCCCACTGCCCCCTGCTCCGCGCCCTGTGCCACCCTGTGTGCGTGAGGGGGGGAAGGCAGTGAGGGAAGACATGGGGGTGGAGGGAAAACAGTGAGCTTGCAGCCGCACACAGCGGGGTTGCATTCATAGTCGACTGACGAATTGCAGGTGAAGGAGACGAAGAGACGGCCGTTGCTGGGGTAGTCGGGGTGAAAGGCAATCCCCACTGCCCCCTGCTCCGCGCCCTGTGCCACCCTGTGGAATGCAAATCGTAGGAATAAAAAAAGATAGAGAATGCTGAAACCCCTTACTAGTGCCCCCTCCCATCCCAATGCGCTCTTCCACTGCCACACCCCTTCCCCATCAAAACCTAGCCTTAAGTCGTCCCTTCTTCCCGGTCTCCCCCCTCCCAGTCCTCTCCATCGCAGCCCAACTCCCTCCCTGTCCCTCCCCTCCCCAATCCCCTCCCTGTCCCTCCCCTCCCCAATCCCCTCCCTGTCCCTCCCCTCCCCAATCCCCTCCCTGTCCCTCCCCTCCCCAATCCCCTCCCTGTCCCTCCCCTCCCCAATCCCCTCCCTGTCCCTCCCCTCCCCAATCCCCTCCCTGTCCCTCCCCTCCCCAATCCCCTCCCTGTCCCTCCCCTCCCCAATCCCCTCCCTGTCCCTCCCCTCCCCAATCCCCTCCCTGTCCCTCCCCTCCCCAATCCCCTCCCTGTCCCTCCCCTCCCCAATCTCATCCCTGTTCCTCCCCTCCCAAATCCCCTCCCTGTCCCTCCCCTCCCCAATCCCCTCCCTTCCCATCTTCACTCACAGGCCACTGATGTCGAGAAATGGCGACCCCCCATCAGAAGGAAGCTGGTCCGACGACCCCGGCTCGGGCAGATTGTAAAGAAACAACCTGCCCGCGCGCTCCAGGAAAAACGCGCGCCGCGATTGGTCGGGATGCGGAGTCATGGCCACATAGTAACTATTCTCCTCGCTCTTACCATTCTTAGTACTCAACCCAATCTGCTCCACACACATGTTATTCACGGGCGGCAACTCATCCTCCCCCAACTCATCCGGGTAATCCACCGGTTTACCCCGATAGCAAATCTTCGGCCCATCGCCCGGGTTCTTATTCGGGGGCATGAACCGGCGGCAAAACTCGCCCTTAGTTAAGTAAACATCATAAAGAGAGATGTAACGAGGGTCATTGGTGGCGACAAAGGGATTCTTGGGCATGGCAACCATGCCGCAGACGTCCCAGACAGTGGAGCAGAAGGGCTGCGTCTCAACAGGGTCGCGGTTGGACTGGGCTGTGCAGAGGTACGGCACGTCGGCGTAGCGGCCTGTGTGGTCGCGACGGTACACCTGCGATGCATAGGGGTCGCATTCCTGGTGGGGGGTTGGTTGGGTGGGAGGGTTGAAGAAGGGAGGAAAGTCAGAGGAGGTTGGACTGGGCCGTGCAGAGATACGGCACGTCAGCGTAGTGCCCTGTGTGGTCGCGACGGTACACCTGCGAGGCGTAGGGGTCGCACTTGAGATCATGGGAGGGTTGAAGGGAGGGTTGAAGAAGGGCCAGGGGGATGTAAAGTGAGGGGGTGAAACGCAAACACAGCACTCACAGTACTCACACATGCTCACGCACGCACACACGTGGCCTCGCACGCGCGTGCGCACACACACAAACACAAATACACGCAGACAAAACACCCAAATACACACACGCACGCCATTCACAGCACTCACAGCGTCACACAACATTCACGACACAGAAACCAAAACTTCAAGTCGACTTGGCACGCACGGCGCACAGCACTGCTTGCATTCCACACACAGCAGCATTCACGGCACAGAAAACAGCACTCACGGCGCACAGCACGAGTTCCAGCGCGCGGAGGCGGTTCTTGGCGCAGGGGATGTTGCCCATGGCTTTGCTGTACTTGAGCAGATTCTGCGCGATCTTCACGTTCCGGTCGTTCGTGCATCACCGCTTGCATTCCGCACACAGGAAAACCCAGACCTACCAAGTCCACACAACAACACTCATGGCAAGGAGAACCCATATCTTTCTCCATACACACCCAGACCTTACCAGTCCACACCACACGCGCAGCACAGCACTCACGGCGCACAGCACGAGTTCCAGCGCGCGGAGGCAGTTCTTGGCGCCGGGAATGTTGCCCATGGCGTTGCTGTAGTTCAGCAGAGTCTCCGCGATCTTCACGTTCCGCTCGTTCGTGCAGCAGCTCTCGTTGTTGTACTGCCGGCAGATCTGCAGCTGGTCCTTCGGCGTCTGGGGTTGCGCTGATGGGACGGAGCGGGGGAGGGGGGAGCGGAACGGGTGGCTTTTAGGTTGACTCCAAGGGGAATGTTTCGCTCGTTTGCGCAGCCGCTCTGAAAATTGTATTGCCGGCAGATCTGCAGCTGGTCCTTCGGCGTCTGGGGTTGCGCTGAAGGGAGCGAGCGGGGGAGGTGAGGAACGGGAGGGGAAAGCGAGGAGGGTAGCATTTGGGTTGACTCTATGGGTAATGTTTCGCGCGTTTGTGCAGCAGGTCTGGTTGTTGTAATGCTGGCGGATCTGCAGCTGGTAACTGGGGATCTTTGGTTGCCCTTAAGAGGATGAACGCTTAGAAATGTAACGCGAGGGACGAATGTGCGTTCGAAGGATTACGAACTGATGTGTGATTGAAGGATTATACGCTATCGAATGACGTGTGATTGAAAATTATATGCAGACGGAATGACGTGCGATTGAAGGATTATATGCTGACAGAATGACGTGTGCATGAAGGATAATAAGCACAAAATGACGTGTGACTGAAAGCCTGAAAGATGACGGAGTGAAAGACGACTAGACTGTCGGAAAGAAAGCTGACGGCTGACGGACTCGCAAGCAGATCCATTACTTACTCGAGCATCTTCGCAAGGCTTCAACAGGAAAAAAGAACGGACGACGGAAGTAACGGTCGGGAATCAGTGATTGAGAAAGAACGCATTGTAAAGAATGACTCCGGTCACAACTTACCCGAGTCGAGGCATAGCTTCTGAGCCGATGCATGACTGTCGATCCCGACCAGCATCAGCACTATCGCCACTAGTAGCAACACGCTGACTAGGCGCCGCATGTTCGGCGAATGAGCGGAAGGATACGATAAAGAAAATGAAGGTATCTTTGTTGCGGTTACGCGAATCTCTATAACGCGTTCAGGAGCTCGGCTAGTTTCAAGACATAAATAGCTTCGTTCAGCACACGTCAGACTCAGCTGATGACAGCTGTTAGAAGGACCAGACTAAGAAACGGAGAAGAGACCTGAACACATGGGCTTCTGGAATAAGAAAAGAGCGCGGTGCCTCTATTCTATGTTCCAGCGCAAATCAGAAGTCAATGTGATCGCCTTTGCTCTACTTCCTATGCAGAACAAGCAACATGACCAAGAGCCGTCGAGGCGGCTAAGTAAGCGACACAATGTGCGCGTTGCACGGCGTCGCATCGCCAACAGCCGCCCTTCCTGAACGACCAGAATAAGTACGGAATGAGGAATGCGGCTTCCGTCAAGGTGAAATTCTTGAGACTGCTCCTCACATCAATAGTTGGGCGGACGACTATAAGAGGCGGGGGGAGGGGAAGGGAGGGGGGAAGATTGCGCGGAGAGAGTGTATGCGGGGGAGTGGTTGCGGAAGGCTAAACGGGGCAACTTTGATGTTTTGGTTGGCTGGCCCTTCTTCGTTGCGGGAGCGCTCTGCAGGCCTGCGCGCAGAAAATGATGATGCTCCGCCGATGCCTTATATTTTTCCGCCACGCGCGAGTGTGTGGCTCTGAACCGCAGTCGCTGGCGGGACAGGGAGCGGAAGGCAGCTCTGCGTGAACAGTATCGAGGGACCGCTAGTGAAGTGAAAATAGGACCAGGGTGATGGGAATTGCATCGCTGAGTTGACAGACGACGGCTGGCGAAACTCCAGAAGAGCGTCGCGAGCCTCGTGAAAGTCGTTGCTGTTCTGAATTTGAACCACAGGACCATGGTCCTTGGGATTGGATTTGTGAAACTATCGCGTATATTACGCAAGTGGATTCAATATCAGTGCACTAATCCACTTGAAGCCTGTACCATCGAAGGAGCTGAGTGGGCTACATGCAACTGAGCATAAAATGCAGCAGAGAAAACACCTACGGATGAATCAACATCACATATACAAACAGTTCGAGGTATCGGCTGTAATCAAGACCGATTCACATGTAAGCCTTGGGATCCAGGGTCTTGAGGTCCACCTGGATGTCCTCCAAGCCGTCCCTGGGAAATGGAATCCGAAAATACAGGGTAAACAGGTAAATTACATCGAAAACATGAATTACATCTTGAGGGCCATTGCATTGCGGTCCATGTCAGCATCCTTAAATACCTTCCCAGGTGATCGACAGTGATTCATAAGTCAGAAACACACAGAAACACACACAAGATCAGACAAAAAAACCCCTTCCGAACAGTGCACTTGGTTAAGAACTGGTTTTACAGTGGTGCAGAACGGATGGCCTGCGATCAAGCAGACTGAGAGAAATATTCCCGAGACCCTGCTCGCGATAACCCCTTCGGTGCCTCCTTGCTCACCTCCCAGGACCGCCCACCTTCCCTTTCCATCCCAACCTCGCTCAACAATCTAAAAGCCTCAAACCCCACGTGATCACCCACCTCTTCTTGTACGTGCCAACATTCTCCACCGCCTCGCTGGCAAAGGCAGCGATGTCAGTCTTGGCCATGTTTTTGCAGATCGTTTTCTTTGCAATTCTCAGGAACAACACCAGAACCCCACGCACCTCTTCTGGTACGTGCCAATCTTCTGCGTTGCCTCGCTGGCAAAGGCAGCGATGTCAGTCTTGGCCATGTTTTTGCAGATCGTTTTCTTTGCAATTCTCAGGAACAACACCAGAACCCCACGCACCTCTTCTGGTACGTGCCAATCTTCTGCGTTGCCTCGCTGGCAAAGGCAGCGATGTCCGTCTTGGCCATGCTCGTCTCCAGCTGCTGCTCCAACGGCTCCAACTCGCCGTCCTTCAGGCCCAGCCTGGCGGTGTGAAGGCAGGGCGGGAAGAGCAGGGAGAGGGGAGAGCAGGGAGAGGGGAGAGCAGGGAGAGGGGAGAGAAGGGAAAGTTGGATGGCATAAAGAGAGTGTTCAAAGGGGCTAGTCAAGGGCAAAGGCAGCGATGTCTGTCTTGGCCATGCTCGTCTCCAGCTGCTGCTCCGGCACCTCCAGCTCACTGCCCTTAGCTTCAGCCCCTACCTACCTGCCAGTGTGAACAGATGCACACTCTACAAAACACCCTGTGAGAAGACCTTGTGCATGCACACACCAGGAAGCCAGTCGAAACATTCACTTCGTGTTGATGACAATGGCGCCCTCCTGCAGCATTGCCATGCCCTTCACATTATCCCCCACCAAAACATAGAGCACAGTGCTGCTCCATCAGCAGAAAATTTGACAGCACCACTCACTTCTTGTTGATAGCATTAACCTCCTCCTGAAACATCGCCATGCCCTTCACATCATCCCCCACCAGCGCCTTCCCCAACTTATTCTCCCTTCTTGTTGCATGCATACTCCAAAAGATTATTCAAAGCACTCGCTTCTTGTTAATAGCATTAACCTCCTCCTGAAGCATCGCCATGCCCTTCACATCATCCCCCGCCAGCGCAACAAAGCACAGCGCCATATTATCAACAGGGAAAGAAGACGAAAGAAGAAAACAAAAACTCCTTCTTCGTTTACTGCCGCACTCACTTCTTGTTGATGCCGTTGACCTCCTCCTCCAGCATCGCCATGCCCTTCACATCATCCCCCACCAGCGCCTTCCCCAGCTTCTTCTCGACACTGTCCAGCGCTGCAAACATGAGCTTCTCCGCCCCCAGCTTGTCCTCCACTCCTAGCCTAGGTGCACAGAGAGGTGTGTGAAGGGTTGGAATGGGGTGGGATGGGGTGGGATGGGGTGGGATGGGGTGGGATGGCACATCAACCAATGTGAGCAAATCCAAGCCTAGAAGCACACCCTTGATGCTGGAAACTTCCAGGAATCTGCGCACGCATTGCAAGCCCTCTCTCACTCCCAGCTGCATTCCTAAATGCTACCTCGTTACAAGGTCCCTCGTTACAAGGTCCCTCGTTACAAGGTCCCTCGTTACAAGGTCCCTCGTTACAAGGTCCCTTGTTACAAGGTCCCTTGTTACAAGGTGCCTCATTACAAGGTGCCTGCTTCATTACAAGGTACATCATTAAAAAGCGTCTCATTGTACAGTGCCACGTTACAAAGGAGAACGACGATCCACTCACTGCCTGCGGATGATGCGGGATTCTTCCAGGAAGCTGCGCACGTCCCGCGAGTCTTCCTCTGCTGACTCGAGCAGGTTGGAGAGCTTCTCGGAGAAGGACGGGATGCCCAGGCTGAGAATAGGGGGGTCGGGAGGGGTGGAGAGGGGTGCGGACGGGTGGTGATTAGAAGGACAGGGGGACCAGAAGAGGGGCGTGGGAGAATCCTCCTCTGCTGACTCGAGCAGGATGGAGAGCTTCTCAGCGGGATGCCCAGGCTGAGATGAGCGGGCGAGAGGGTTGAGGAGGGGTGGGGAGGGGTGGGGAGGGGTGGGAAGGATGGGGAAGGTAGGGCCCGGAGGACCAGAGGAGGGATGGCCGAGTCTTCCTCTGCTGACTCCACCGCTCAGGACCGTGCCTCACCTCTCGCGGATGTTCTTGACAGCAGCGGCATACGCCTTGGTGGCCTTGTCGTCAGCAGCGTTTTGAGCTGAACTGTAATTGAGGTACCTCACCGCTCAGGACCGTGCCTCACCGCTCAGGACCGTGCCTCACCTCTCGCGGATGTTCTTAACGGCAGCAGCGTACGCCTTGGTGGCCTTGTCGTCAGCCGCGTCCATGGGGATGGGAACCTTCTTGAGACCTTCCAGATACGACCGGAATGACGCCTGCTGCTTGATAAAAGCCGCCTTCACCACATCCTCTGGTGAGCGGGGGAAGAGGAGGGGCGGTAGGAGGGGAGGACGGGGATGGGAGGGGGAAGGGATGGGGAGGGAGGTGAAAAACAAGTGGAAGCAAGGAAGGTTTAATGCACTAATCAGATACGACCGGGGCGATGCCTGCTGCTTGATAAACGCCGCCTTCACCACATCCTCTGATAGGGAGGGGACGAGGAGGGAGGGTAGGAGGTCGGATGGAAGGTCGAAGCGGAAGATGAGAGGGTGACACGTGATGAGGCCGGGTAGTGGGAGCGGGGAAGTGGGGGATAGGAAGTGGGAAGTGGGGCCCGGGAGGAGCCATCACCTGTCGCGCACCCCAACATCCTCTTAGCGCGTTAGTACCTTCAGCGGGACATTTGAGCCGTCTCAAAAGCCCTAGCGCGTACGTACCTTCAGCGGGAGCGGCAGTAGCGAATTCGCGGGCGACATTCCCCGCGAGTAGCGCGGATGCGGGAGCAACGGGGGCGAGCCTTGCGGACACCGCCCTGCCCTGTTGCGCGGACACGGGGAAGTGGGGAAGGGGGCGGGGGAGGAGAGGGGGAAGGTGCAGAGGAGGAGTGAGGGAAGGAGTGGGGGACGATTTGGAGAAAGAAGTGGAAGAGGGACGGGAGGAGAGGTGGGTGTTGGTTGGGGATAAGGGGAGAGGCGTGGGGGGAAGGAAGGGGGTATGTCGTGGCTTTCAAGTCGACTCAAATGTCGAGGGAAGCACGCTGAGGATCGAAGGATCAGGACGAGGATCGCCGGGGAAGTAAGGGAGAGGTCATGGCGAGAAGAACTCTAGTCTTGTTCTCCGGCTCACGAACACAGCTAGCTTCCCCGGAAACTTGGCTGACAGCTTAGGACAGCTATATTGGTGTTACTTTTGAGAATTCTCAAAAGTAACACCAATGTGTAACCACTCGGACCGTTTCTTGAGGCGCCTCGAAAATCGGCTCACGAGCACAGCCCCGGAACTCGGCTGACAGCTTAGGACACGTATCTACCCCACTCAGCTCTAACCCTACAGACCGATTTTCGAGGCGCCTATAAAATCGGCTCACACACGCAGCTGGATTCATCGGAAACTCGGCTGACAGCTTAACGTGCGTTGTCCTACAGACAAATATAACCACTCGTTCGTGATCCTACAGATCGCATCCGAGCAGAGAAGAGGAATAAGGCAGCAACGCGGCACGAAAAGGTTAACCTAAATGAGGCCTAGTTTCGAGAGGTCTTGACAATCGATCGCATGCGAAAGCACCAAAGTACTGAGCCGACTTGAAGCGTCGAGGCGCGACAAACTCGAGGCATCTCAAACTCGATCCCGGTCGAACCAAAGCGCGCCAGCGCACCACGCGCACTGTAAGCTACACGACAATGAATCATTCCCTGATAGGCGACAATGGCTCTTAGGCTCATTGCGAGCGACGTACGGCGAGCGCGAGGAGGCGAGAGCTGGAGCGAGCAGCCATGGGTGACGACTCGATACAAGAGCGATCGGCGGGACGGAAGTAGAGCGCGAATACACGGCGAGCGGAAGCGGAGCGGAACGGCGAGAGTGGAAAGTGGGGGATCCGGCGGAACGGACGACAGGGAGCGCGCGATCGGAGGTGGCGACTCGCGAGGACAGAGGCCTGGTGATACTCGCTGCAGGCGTGGGATGGTGATGACGGTTACTCGCAAAAGGGGAGGAGGAACCGAGGGACGAAGCAGGGAAAAGAAAAAGGAGCACTAATATAGATTTTTGTGCAGTGTATTCGTTGCATCTACAATGCATCTTTGAAGATCCAAGTTAGTGAATTATGCTTTCAGCAACGATACAGTTATATTATAACAAGCAAGCAAACAAGTAATCAAGCAAGAAAATTCGTCCAGCCATCATGTTAGTAAAGCATTCAAAATCCAGTAATCAGTTAGTGAAGTGAACATTGTCAACACTGAAAAAAGGTTAAAGCCTCAGTTCCAGATCCAGATCTGTTACATCTCGGAACCCATGTCCTCCCCCATTCAGCTGGCGCCCTCCATTGTTCTGTGCATCTTGACCGTATGCATTTGCAGTACCTGAAGCTCCAGCCCATATTCCTGCTGATCCTGCTGGTGTTGCTGCTGTTGCAGGTGTTGCAGGTGCAGGTGTTACTGGATTATAACTTTGCAGCTGCATCATAAAACCACGCGCAAGCGTCTTCATCTGCAGCTCTGCTCCTGCGTTGATTTCTCCTTGGCCAAGCACGGCCTGTGCGGCCTGCAGCTGGGACAGCAGCTGCGCCTGAGCCTGAGTTGTCTGTCCTTGCCCCGTCATCTGCTCAATCCTGCTCACGATAGCGGAAACAAGAGCACTGCGCAGTGCATGCTCCCCGGATAATCCACACATGCCCTGCAAAACTCCTGATGCAGCGGCTGACCCTGCTGCTGCTGCTGCTGCTGCTGCTGCTGAACCTCCGGCTGCGGTCAGTGGGAATGGAGGAATGGAGGTCTGGAGGCTCGCAGAAGGAATAGAGGATTGAAGGCCAGCTGGAGCAACGGGGAGTGGAGGGGGAAGTGGAGGAGGAGAGGGAGCAAGGGAATGAAAAGAAGGGGTGCGGAAAGGGGGAATAGCATGGGAAACAGGGCCTATGTGAGACGGGTGTGGGGAGATGGGTGTGGAGGTGTGGGTGGGCATGTTGGAAAGAGACTGGAGGGAGGCTTGGGAGGAGGCTCGGGCAGCTGAAGTGTTGGGAGCACGAAAAAGTTGAGCTTGCATTTGCTGCTGCTGATTCGGATCCTCCTCCTGCTGCTGCTGCTGCTGCCGGAATTGCAGTTGTAGCATCTCTTGTATTTGATCCAGAAGTGACAGATGCTGTCTCTGCTGCTGCTGATCTTGCTGATAAACTTCCCTGTTAAACTGCACGTCTGGCTGCTTCCCATCCTGGTGCTGCCTCCCCCCATGCTGCTTCTGCATCGCCTGTTGCATCATTAGCTGCTGATTCGCTATAAGACTTAGCAGATCACCGCTCGACCCCAAAGCAGAACCAGAACATTGGGAGAATTGCGCCAAACTTCTCTTCTCTCCCCTCTCCAACGAATCTCGGGAAGCTTGGCACTTAGCTAAGTGCTGTGTGGCTTCTAGTGCTGACATCTCCGTTCTCTTTCTCTTCTGCTTCCCCTCACGAAGCAGCTCAGAAATAGAAAGATCCTCGGTATCAAGCCGATCTCCAACAACCACTTCCTTTCCGAGCGTCCAAGCTTCAGCCAAACCTACAGTGGAGGCTCGGCCCTCACCACCATTCCCTGCGCCCTCTTCCCCTGCCGGACCTGGAACTGACTCTGTCCTTTTCCCCGTCATCCTGCCCCTTCGCGAAGACTTCCCCTTGCTCGCCAGTGAACCCTTTCCACCGCCGTTATCCTTTCTCCTGGAAATCCCAGCTTGCTTGTCATTCTCGCGACTGCCAGCTCCCGCTCCACCTTCCGCGTTGCTCCTCTCCCGCGCGCCAGGCGAGTGCGCGCCTTCCGCCGAGCCGTCTGCCGCCGTCGCGTTTGCCATGAGAGGCTGCACGTCTGACGCGGATGCCGCCGCGACTGCCATCGCAATGATTTTCGACCGCTTAGACTTATAACCTCTTGCTACTGGGGACGTAATCGTGGTCCCCGCCATCGCGTCTCCATCGCGCACTCCAGCCTTGTCTTGAGCAGTACAGTTTCCATCCACTATTGCCCAACCTAAGCGTTTGGTTCTGACCGAAGCTGCACGGTCGGACATATCTGCCGCCGCAGGGTGTTCAAATGTCTCCGCCCGCAACCGTTTGATTCGATATGAGCCGCCCTGTGGACTCGCAAACAGCCGATCGGTACTGCCAAATACGGGTTCCCTTATTCTTCCCGCAACTGCCGCCGCCGCACCTTTCCCCTTGCGAACGGACCTGCTGCCTCGGGTCAAACCAGCGGCGTCGCCCGGCGAAAAATCGTTAACGTCCTGAGAGCCAAGCAGACGTGTTCCGTGAGTGAAGTGGTCGTGGTCGTTAAACGAGTTCAGCGACGGAAAGCGTTTCTCGCAAACGCCGCAGACGTACGGACCGCCACCCGTCGGCTTCACTTTAACGGAACTCGCTACGGTGGGACTCAATAATAACAGCAGATCTGCGGGCGTCAGGTCACCCCACTTCACCTTGAACTGCGGACTCCCAAAGCCGCCGTCAATCGCGCTTTTCGCTTTCACGTCCGCATTCGGACTGCCGTCAGTGGGGCTTTCCCCGCCAGCGTTCTTCTCGTCAATGCTTTTCCGCGAGTTTAACGGAGTTTTCGCAGCGACGTTCGAGGTGTCTTGGCGTGAAGCTTTCGACGCAGACTTCTTCGAATCGTCAACGTCGTCGGCGTTGACTTCCGCGACGCCGTCTGCTGGACTGCCATGTCGAACGTCTTCTGACGGCTGCACAGACGGTTTTGACGGACTGCCGGTTGCTGCTTCTCCGGAGGCGGTTGCGGCGGCGGAGGTATCGTAGTGTCGTTGGTCGGCGAGTTCGGTTTCCTGCTTATCCGGCTCCGCATGAAGAGCCACATGCGGCGCCGCCGGAAACGGTATTTCTTGGCTCGTCGCTCGCACCAGCGCTTCGAACGCATCCATCCGTTCGGGTGACGTCATCGGGTACCCCGGCGCCGACGCGGCGCCTAATAACAGATCCCGAGGCTGAGAGAACGACGGCGACCCCGAGCCGGTCACGTGCGGAAACGCGCCGGCGTCAGTCGATGCTATAACGGAGCCGCTCGCCGTGCTCGCTTGCGGTAACGGCTTGACGCTTGCTGAAGGCTCCGAGACGATAGTAGCAGTGTTGTCGACGTCGGGAGACGAATAGATTTGAACTAGGCCACGTTTTTTTACCACACGCTCGCTGCTGCTTGCTGAATGCTCCGAGCTGATACCGCTGCGGCTAGTAACACGGCTGCTGAGTAGTTCTTCAGAACGTGAATCTGAACGTGATGGGGATCGGGAACGGCAAGAACCAAGATTCGTGTTTATCCGACTTCTTGAAGGGTCAAAAGTCGCAGGTCCAACCGTGCTGGGAGTACGCGCCGAGCGACCTTCCGACGAGGATTTGGGGAAATCTTGGTGGCGCGGCGAAAATTTTGCTGCTAGCGGAAACATATCGATGGTAGGAGCATGCGCTCGGCCCGGTGGAACGAGTAAGCCTTACCACCTCCCACGACCGCACGATATGCAACGAGCGGATGGGATTGGAAGCGAGCGGATGGGTTTGGAAGCGAGAAGGCGAGAATCCCGGAGTACGATAACAGGGAGTGAGAAGCGAGTTTACGTGTGCTCCCCGTCTTATCCACAACGGGAATCCCGTCGAGGTCTTGGAGTCCCCGAGGTTAATGAGTCACTTTACAAGGACCCTGACGAGGACCCTGGTTTTAGAAGGTTTGGCGGAGTCTCCAAGAAAAGGCAGCGGCAGAAAGAACTAATCTCTGGGTTCGATATGTCGCCTATGCCTCCATCATGGCGGGGTTTGAGCGATCGAGTGCGTAACGCTTCGCGAACGTGACAGCGACGGTTTTGCCTTTCTTCAGCCTCCCCAAAGTTGCATGCATGCAGAAACACGAGGCGAGCGAAGGGTGGACGATGATTAATTGGCTGATCTGGCAGAGCTAAAAAACGCCGATTCGACTGGGGACGCCACTCTGGAATTTACAGAATGTAATCCTCGAGGAAACCAACTCTGCGATGAGATCGAGGATTTTCCTTCACCTGAGCTTCTCGAGAGAAACGATGTGACAAGAGCACCATGAGCAACTTGGGCGGCGAACGACCGATTGACGTGACGTGTGGGAATAAAAAGACGAAGGAGCAGTGGCTCTCTCTCTTCTCTACGCGCGGACCAGTCCCTAGGAACGAGTGACCATGGCAGGAGGGTGGACATGGGCTGGACAGTTGTCGAGAGAGCTGGCGAGGTGACTGCACCGTCTTGCTCCCAGATGCCAACAGATTTTTCCATTGAACGTGGCGGGGGCTGTTGAGCCGAGGCGGTTGCGTTGGATTGCATTTGCGGCGCGTCGCGCTGACCTCAATGCTTGAAGGGGGACAGTTCGGCAGGAAGGTGTGGCTGGCTCCGAGGTGAGTGGACGAGACGACGATATTTCAACCTGATGCGACGAATCTAGGAGTTTCCGACGGTGACAGGGGGAAGTCCTCAGAAGCGAAAACATGCGAGGGTGAAAGCTTGATCAGGAAGAGAGCTTTCAATACGGCTTGGATGGCAAGGGGACGTGGGTGGGTCAGTTGAATGAAACGGGCTTTCCCGACTTTCCTGCACTGCTGCATGGATGTCGTTTTTGTGGTGCCAAACAAAACCTTGTCATAGAGAGCTGTCAGAATGTGCAGCATGCGTGTACGCTGGCTTGACAACAATTGATTTGTCCTACAGTCCCTCCATCCTTCCCCATGCAGTTGAATTGAGTCTGTTTTTTTTGCGTCCGAGGAAGGTGCCATCGATGTGTCGTGGGAAACCCCAGCGTTTAGTAAAAACTAAGAGGAACGATTACTTAGCAGCGAGCCCTCCTGTGGTTCCGCCACAAGCAGTCCTATTTTTGGGACCAATCAAATAAGGCCGTGTAACCATTTTGCTTTTTTGCATTTTTGCGGACTGTCCGTAAATTTTGAAATGGACGGTCCTAATATTGCGAACAGAACCATCCGTATTGAAGTTTCGCAACTTTGGCCCGTCCGGATGGAAAAGTGACACTTTTTTCGTGTTGAATATTTTCGCGATTACTGTAGCCTCGTTAGGGGCCTATATCTTAGTAACTGGATTCGCAACTTCTCGCAAACACAATTCGTCCGCCAATCCATGAGAATTACTGTACATTGAAATATTGCGCGCCAATCTCTGGCCAGGGCTGCTGGACCGTCCGGTTGGGTTTCGGACTGTCCACGGTTCACATTTCGAACCGTGAAAAAAGGAAAAAGTGTCACGACGGTCCGAATTGTTGGCGACGTCGCACAAGCATTCAGGAGTTAAGTAACGACTTTGTGCGACACTAGTAACCCTTCGTTGACCCGGACGGTCCACAGTTCGAGCCGTCGGGGTCAAAATGGTTACACGCCCTAAAATACTCTTGTCTCCCACACTTTCCCCTGCACAACGTGACAAAATGACCTACGTGACATGAGTGTCATGGGTTGCAGAAGGGACAGAAGCGACACATAAACTGTTGTACAGAACAGTACAGTCATTCGCATTGACACTGAAAGGCCTCGCAGAGTGGCCCACACGAGCTCGGTCAACTGTTGCTCTAATTATACGAATTAAAGTCAAACAAACACCAAAAACAGATATGCACATGCAAAGCAAATATGGTCTAATTATACTAATCAAAGGCAAAATGCACATGATCAATATTCACTCTTAGATGTCACCAATAAATCTTGCAATAGCAACATTTGTTCCTCTAACATGATAAACGATACCTAGATACCCTGTTCAGTACGCTTCATGTGTTTGGGTGGTATATGGAAACAAGGAAACGAGATGCGCATCAACCTTGACGAATCCGGGAGCCCAAACTTGCGGCTATGTTTGAAGAATATTGTACCATATTTCAATGCATGTGTTTGCATGTTTGCACGCAAAGGCCACAAGGCCAGTCAGCAATAACAACAAAGACTATGATGTTACTATTAAAGTAGCGGAATCGTGATTATTAGGCCTAAGGGGGGGGATACAAGCAAATTGTCGAGAGAAGTTTTGTACCCCCTAACATGCAACTCACTATAGCATGTATAATAAAACAAAAATAGTTTGACACATCCCCATAGGCTAAGTGAGGGGTATTAAAGCAAGCAGAGTAAACAAACAGTCACAAAACCAGTCAAGATAAGCAACAAGACAAAGCTCAGGGAATATCACGAAGTCACCACAAACTCTGAGCACAAGCAGGCGGCCACAAGGCCAGTTCAAGAGTTCACAAATATATATAGATGCAAGGACAAGCAGAGCAAGCAAACAAGAAAAACAAGTATATTTCAAAACATGTTTATATCATGTTAGTGATGTTAGGCTGTAGTGGGTTACTCCCCATGAGGTACAACCCTTTGTTAGGGTTGCTACTTGTACCACTCATCCTGCTTTAGTCAATCATTACTCTTTCCTCATTCTGCCATGATATTAGAGTAGATACGTTCCTTGGGCCCACCGAACGATCCGCCCTGCCCAAACTTGAAACCTTCTTTTTTTTCATGCCCTGCTGCCTAGCGCCAGCGCGCGCCTTACTGCCCTGCCCGCGTGCGCCCAGCTGCCCTGCTACTGAGCGCCCTGCTGCCCTGCCTGCCCGCGCGCGGCACGCGCACCCTACTGCCTACAGCGTCAGCGCGCCCTGCTGCCCAGCACGCCAGCGCGCCCCGCTGCCCAGCGCGCCAACGCGCCCCGCTGCCCGACGCGCCAGCGCGCCCTGCTTCCCAGCGCCCCAGCGCGCCCCGCTGCCCAGCGCGCCACGCTGCCCAACGCGCCAGCGCGCCCCGCTGCCCAGCGCGCCAGCGCGCCCCGCTGCCCAGCGCGCCAGCGCGCCCCGCTGCCCAGCGCGCCCTGCTGCCCAGCGCCCAGCGCGCCCTGCTGCCCAGCGCCCAGCGCGCCCTGCTAAACCCTAAAAAAAAAAAAAAAAAAA